GGATAAAGCTGCTGTTCCAATTTTTACATCCATTCCTAAGAGGGGATTTATATGCTCTCATTTACAGGCAGGCCAAGCCATTCTATTACATAAATGTAAGTATTTACTTTGCATTACCTTGATTACAAAGGGGAGTTATGGGAAAGGGTAGCTTTTTTTTAAATGCTGAGTAATGCACATGAAGAGAAGTGGGAGGAGCAGGTAATAAGTGCAATTGCTTTCTGTTTCCAGGCAGTTTTGCTTAGAGAGTTAATGGGAGAAGTGCAGTACAGTACTCAAATACTTTGTCTGCAGATACAATGTTGTTTGTTTTTGTTTTGCTTGTTTTTGCTTTGCTCTCATTGTGGGCTTCCAGAGGGTGGGAGGGTACTGTAAAGCTGGCTCTGCAATACCAGAGTTTTGTCATCAGGAAAAGAATCTGTGCAGCTCAACATTTTTGCTCACATATCTACATTGAAGGCCCCTGTTAGGCACTGTCTCTCAATCCTGAACTAAAAGCCTAAAAAAAGGCAAGCAATCTTAAGTCCTTTAAGATGAAGGGACCTCTCTAGGTTCCTGGTTGAATCAGAGAACAATTTAGGTTGTAAGTGGATTGCAGGCAGTTTTCTTGCTGAGTCCCCCTCCATTCAAAGCAGGGCTGCCTTTGATACTGGACCAGGCTGCTCATGTCCAGATGAATTTTAAACCTAATGGATTACCCTGTTAATCAGACTTTTCAATTCATTATACATTCAGTTGTGAAATACACAAAACCTGCATGTCTCAAACTATTCTGTGCTGTTCCTGGATGCACTGCTAACTTTGCTGGAATAGTCTGGATAAAGGTTTTCACTAGGAAGTCACAAGGTGGCTGGAGTTAAGAAATTAACTTGAATTAACTAATTTAATTCTTGATTTTAGCTAAAGATTCCCCCCAATTCCTTCTACTTTTTGACTCTCCTTTCCAGCTTAGCAAATGTGAAGTAAAAAACAGTCCATCAAAGAAGACTTTTGTTGTAAGCTACTTTTTAATCACAGCATTAGTTGACATTCAGTCAGCATGACGATTACATTTTTCTTCTCAAAATGCCAACACACAAAATAAGCCTAGCAGGAACCTTCAGAAGAAAATGAGGAAATATCTGAAGACACTGGACTTGGAATGACAGAAAATAATGAGGTAAAACTAATAAATTGATTTGAGCAGTGACAAGGTCTGGTAAAACTAAAGAAAAGTTTCCCCTTGGGATTACAGACAAAAGAGCACCTAGAAATAGAGGGCCATCCTTCTGTTTTACTGAGATGGATTGGATGTCATGGTTATGAAATGTGGAGACTGAAGCTCATTCTCTAACCCTACAATTAATTTGCAGGAACTGCAGCCAAAATGCCCTTCTGTGCAAGTCTGTGCTCCAAGCCGAGCCTAAAGCTCGATCTCTCTGACCCCGTACTTTGTCTTTGGCTTTTTGTTCAGAAGGTGCCAATTACTGAGAGGTCTGGCACTGGTTTTGCTGAGGATTGCATCTATGCCCTGACAATTGAACTTGGCTCTCCAAAGCAAATCCACACAAGCTGCTTGAGCTTGGAGCCAGGGCTGCCCTGCATCCCATGCCCTCCTGCTGCTCTGCAGGGCTGCTGTAGCTTGTGACCATGCTTGGACCCAGTTTGCTGCTAAGCTGGCAATTCTGCCTTGTTTCACGATGCTGCCAGGCTCCTATACAGTGTGTTGCAGAACAAATTCAGAGCTCCTCTTCCTACCTGGGACTCTACCACAAGTCCCCACAGCCTGTTCTGCACTGCAACACCTCCACAGGACCTTACTCCCTTCAAAATAGATGGTTTGCTGTACTCAGTAGAAAGCCAAACATGAACTAGGGAAGGGAATCCTATCATTTTATGGTTAAGCTGGTATTTGGGACATGCCAATTTGCTACCAAAATTGCGATCATTTTCTCATGTTTAATTAATACTTAAGTAATATTTCCCCAGTGCAGCCCTGTCAGTTACTCAGAAACTGGAAGACACCTCCCTACTGCACATTATAAAACCTGTATGCTGGTTTATTTCTGCTTGAATCATCTTCAAAGGTGTTTCACACTCCTGTCTCTGAAGGCTCCTCTACTGGGAAGGAGGAAGTGGTGTTACACAGACACACTGCTCCTCATCCTCAGTCCTCTCCAGGGCAGCTGAAAGGGAAATGGTGTTTTCTGCCCTTTGATTCCCTCCTCTCCACACCATGCTGCTGTCTTTAGGAGGGATATGCAATATCTGTACAATTTTCAACATGTCCTCTTTCTCTCCCATTCCAGCTCACTAATCTAAATCATGTTTTAGCTTAATGGTAAAACATGATGGTCTGCTGTTTCGTTTACTCTTTTGTGTAGCTTAAATTGCAAATTTAAAAAATGGCATAGTATCAGTCCCACATCATGTTTAGACTTGAACTCTCGTTCCAAGGAACTATTCAAAGGTCATAACAAACTTGCCTGCGCAGCACTCTCCTATACACACCACACCCATACACAAATCCCAAGGCTTTCCAAGGGTTACTGCCACTGTCCCCAGGAAGCAACCAGCTGCACTCGAGCGTCTGCCAACCCTGCACAACCACAGGCCCTGGCTGAGAGGCGGAGCCCATCCTGCCCTGCAGTGTCCTGCACTTCTCCAGCAGGGGGCTGGGATGCCGAAAGCGCGGGATGCTCCCTTCCCCTTGCCAGCCTGCAGCCCAGCACAGAGCCGTGCCCGACGCCTCTGGCTGCCCTGACTGAAGCATCCATCCTTTCTGCCTTTTTCTAAGCACGAGGCGCCATCCCATAAAAGAAGGCGCTCCTGCCTTCAAAGGGTTTCTGTTCTTGGGCCGTGGCCTGCCCTGAATCAGCTGCATTCATCAGCCAAGCCTCCGTCTGGGGCTGCTCCTCCCTGGCTGCAGAATCGGTGGAACACCGAGCAGGAGCCAGATATAAATCTCCTGCTCAAAGGAAATATTTAGCAGCAAAATGAGTGGAAAACAAAAAGACTTCTCTGTTACTTACCCAATGCTCTCACTTAGGGCGGCTCTATCTAAAGAAGCGGGGATCTGAGCCCTCCTGTGTGGAGCGGCTGTGCCAGGGGAAGGGGAGCAGGATGTCCCAGGCCTGGGAATGCGCTGCTGCACCCACATGGCTTCGGGCACCGGCCCAGAGATGCAGAGCTTTGTCCATCAAGTCTGTGCATGGTGAGCATGAGAGCTTGCTTAGGGCAGGGAGGGGGAAAAACCTGCAATGTTTTCTCTTAATTCTGAAAAAGGAAAGCTCAAGACACATTAACACAATTTTATGTACTTATTAAAAGCTGAGGAACATTAATCCACAGCTTATCTGTGTTCTGCCCTTATTTCCCTCTGCGCGAGCTGCTCTGCAATACAAGATGTAAGATGCAGATCAACTTTTTTTTCTCTTTTTATTGTAACTTTGATTGTGTAATGCAGTCTGGAAAGGCCAAGTCTCCACATGAATTCACTGAGATGACGGTGCTCCAGCTCTCTGACACAGAAACAGGACAGGTTTCTATTGCAAAATAATTACCACAGAGATAGATAACCATTTCATAAGCAACAGCACAAGAGAGACACAGCTAAGCCATTGCACTAGAACTCAAGGAAGTACATTTGGAAAGGAGGAAGTGCAGGACAGGGCATGTGCCAGCATCTCCTGACAGGGACACTGTCAGTGATGCTCTGACTGGGGCTTTGGTACAGAGGATGTCTGCCCACTCCCAGCCTGCAGCCCATCACACTGGCTGCTTCACCAGCCCAGCTCAATTTGCCACTAACAAGCAGCAGGAGGTTTCAGCAGGTTGCTGAAGCTCCTGCCAACAGTCCCAGAAGCAAGTCCAGTGTCTGCCAGGGACAGAGGGAGAAATCCCTCCTCGCTGACACCCTGCCTGGCCACCAGCGGGACCAGCACGAGGGGCTGGCTGGGACTCGCTCCCTGCAGAAATGTCATCACATTTTGTTAATCCAGCAGAGAAATGTAAAGAAATACATGACCTGCAGGAAGCAGAAAGAGATGCAATGCACATGTCCTTATGTCTCTGCTTCAATTCTTGCCCAAATTTCACCACTCCTGTGCTCACTCAGTATCTTGCAAAGTAAAGGACTAGTAAGTATTACACACATAATTGAAAATTTATCTTTTATAGTGCCATTAGTTTAGCTCTGTATGACCAAAAATTAATTTTTAAAAATCTGGTTATTTTTTATCTAAAGTACAAGCCTCAGTGTTATCCTTTGTTTTCAGATTTTTACTTTATGGTGCAATCATTACCTTGAAACCTACACTGGTAAGGCTCAAAATTCTTCAAAAGTACTGCTGTTTGAATTTTAGTCATGTACCAAAAGAAACGCACACATTACACAAAAATATTTTCCTGCTTCATCTCTACAGTTCCTGAAAAACTGCATCTTGTGGACTTGGAGACAAATGTACTGGAGAAACCAAAACTACATGAATAGAGGAGACCTCAAATGGTCACTGTGATCTGTGACTGTCTATATACACCTTATATACATATGAGAACCTGTCTGAGAACCTGTATTCATGACTGTGTACAGTTTACATCCTGCACACATTAATTTGTCTGAGGGTTTTTTTTTAAAAAATTGTTTTACTCTAGTGTCAAGAAGTATTTACCCTGTGGTGACACAGCAAACATGGTTATTGATTTTAGTCTTACCCTCCCAGCACCACTGCTCATTAACCATAAACTGATTTAGCAAATCTGTCAGTTAACACAGTAATTTCTGAATTTTTTTCTTATTGTATTTGCATATGTAACAAATTGGTACAAATCTTTCCAATAAAATGTAAAGTTCATTGATACAATGTCTTTCATGACGGCCATAACTGGTTACTAGTCAACTCAGTAGTTTTGTAGAGACATTTTTAGCTGAACTTGGAAAAATAGGAAACGTATTGTAGTTTAAAATAAATGTACATAATATACAATATATATATATATTTATACACATGTGTATGTCTACATACACATATACTGATAAAACATTTAAAGTAATGTTTAGTTTTGATCAGTTCTCTGACTGCTGGGACTACCTGGCAAATAAATCTAGAAACAGAATTTGTCCACAATTAAATAATAATTTCCACAACTTAGAAAAATATAATTTTACTAAATAAGGTTTAAATTAATTGATTTATGGATATAGGATGGAGGATCATGGTTTCCAGACTCTGACATGATTAAATCTGAAAGGACCCAAGCTACTACAGACCAGTAACAAGCGCTGCCCCGCAGCCAAACACAGAAGAGCACAGAAACACAAACTGCTGCCACAGCAGCATTGGTGGCTCCCAAAACCTCCCTGCTTCCCTCACCTCTTACACAGCCTTGATTTCCACCCAACCTGAGTCTCCCACCTGACCTCATGCTGTATTTAAGGCGCACTCCAGCCACAAGCACAGCTCCGCAGGGCTCGCGTGGATGGCTCCTGGCCCCCACACAACGCTGCCTTGAGAGCCAACAGATCATCAAAGCCCCTAATTTCCAGCTTGGAGGACCATCAGTACTTGAGCTTCACCACATGGATTTTGACCTACTGCATAGGTAAATACATTATAGCAAAACATACATTTCTCTGTGCGTGTGCGTGCATGTGTATAGAACTATATATACACATGCACACACATGTGAGTACGTGTACATCTCTATATAAAAAATTTCATGGAACTATGTCTAGTAATGTTATCTAGCATGGTATCCTGCATATGTTATCTGATCTTACTCTTTTTTAATATAGAGGCACCAGAAATAATTATAGAGAACAAATCAACCTTTAAAAATTAAAGTTAGGTCAGTGGACAAGAACTTTGGTAAAGCTTGTCAATATTTATTTTTGTTTTATTCAAATACAGTCAAAGTCTATCAGTTGCCATCACCCTCTTCACAAGAGGAAAGTGCATGTTTTTTCCTAAAGAAAATTATATGTAAGGTGGGACTTAATGATTCAAGAAAATTCTGAATTAAATGTTTATATTTTTCAAAAGATTACTATCTTTCTGATGGAATGAAAGCTAAATAGAGTTCTTGTCCTGTGATTTTATTTATCATATGCATATATATATATATAAAAATATATATATATGTCTCTGTTCATGTACCTGTGTGTGTATATACACATCCACACACTTTCAATATGAGAGAGGAACCTGTTTTTCTCCACTATTTATGTGGAGACTCCCACGTTCCTCCCTGTCTTGTACCCTGTGCAGTATAAGCTCTAGTGATGAGGCCAAACAAAAAGATATAGTTCACCATAGTATATTAGTTTATGTAGCAAAGTCATTTTCAAGCAAGTAAAATAAAGCTCTGTATTCCAAACTTCTTTTCCATTTCTCATCAAGAAAAGGAAGGAGAAGGAGAGAGGGGAGGGAGTGGGGTTATGGCAGTAGCATTGAGCCAGTGGCATGTGGCAGTGTGCGTGTGCGAGCGCAGGTCCGCACACACACAGGCGCACAGGAGCAGGGCTTTGGTTGACAAATGCAGATTGTCCAGAGAAGGTGGATGCATAAGTAAGGAAGACTCTACAGTGATGCAATTGTATCTTTTACGCTTGCATGGAGTGAGAAAAAAAAAAAATTCAATTGGAAAAAAAAAAGAAAAAAAAGAAGCAAAGACCTCTTTTTAGGTCCCTCATCAGTGAGAGCATACTCAGTATGCTAGAGAATTTATCTGAAACCTTTTAAATCAAGGCCTCTTTATTACAAAAATAAAAACGAACAAACAAAAAAGTATGAGAGACGACAAGATGCTGAAGCGTCACTCCAATCGTCCCTGCAGAGAACAATTGCATCCCATTTATTATTCATTCTCTTCTCTCATTTCTACGATGTCTGTCATTTCCTCCGTGTGAGGCATGTCGGTCATTGCAGAGTCTTCACCTTCTGCAGCTGTCTCATTCTCATTCCTCTTCTTTTTCTAGATTGAAACAAGCATCCAGAAACCTATCAGTAAATTGTGCATGAATGCACTCCCATCAGCTTTGGACACTGGGAGAAGTGAGGTGAGGATATGGTTTGTTAGAGTATGTTATTAAAAACTAGAATATTTGTGTCATATTTGTGGCTTGCCACTAACGACTTGGCTTAACTTAGAAGATTTCTGTAGCCTTTCTGGGGCTCAGTTTTCTCCTTTCTAACATAAATGCAATCAGGCATTTCTTATGCTAAGCGACATCCAAAACAGGCTTCAGCAAGACTGGAGGGAAGAGAGCATCTGGAATCTTTTACATCACAGACTTCTTATTTAAAAAAAGGAAGGAAAACAAAATGTGAGAGAAGAAAAGCTTCTCTCGGGAGGGAGGTGAGGTGGCAACCTAATTTCTCAAATGTCAAACTTCAGGAATTTTACAAGATGTGAGCATTCCGGCTTTTCTTAGTGTTGCTGATCCACTGTGATCTCTTGCCTCAGCAAAGCAAAGTAATATTAGAATATTTTTGGCCAGCAGGAGCAGGAGGTCATTCAAGAGTCCTATGATTCATTCAGGATGTCCTGGATTAGTAAAGCTAAGAAGAGTTCAGGCCCCTAAAAAACAAGTTGAAGCATCTGTTCCTTATTACCCATTTCTCAGCAGGCTGACTAGTTTTACTGAAAACAATTGTACAGCTGACAAAATATTCCCACAGGTATTATTGATTCAGCTGAGATGGGTGTATCAGAGTTCCTAAATTTCAGAGGTGTATACATAACATTTGATCTGCAGCTCTCCAACCGCAGGTCAGAATAACCTGGTGTAATAGAGCTACTGGTTGGCTCTGCCACTGTCACACTGAATAAAGAATAAATTAGGCTGGCACAGTTATTACTCCTACTACCTGCACTCACCACTGAGAAAAATGAAGCACAATGTCCCTGGCCAGAAAGACTCTGTGAGCTACTATGGTAACAAACTAGCAACGAGGATGTTGTGAAACCAAAGGTCAAGACAAGCCATTTCAGTGTCTTTAAGTTTTACTCTTTGGTCTTCAAGGCAAACATGATAAATTAATCATGACAGATATTATAATTCTTCTGTTGTCTTATGAACCTTGTACATCTTGAACTCTTGCCATGGCCTGCACTGTCAACACATATCAAATCTGATTTTAGGTTGTTCCAATAAAGGCTTTTAGATATTCCATCTTCTGTAGTTTGGTTTTTTGTTTTAAATAGAAGTGGTAGGTATTTCCACTTGGCACTTTCTAAGAAGTCTAATTTTAAAAAAAGTCACTGCATAGATTATATTTTCTGTTTCCATCCACAGAGTCCTCCTGTACTACAGAATGACATACACACCTTGCTGGTTCTGCTTGGAGCTGGACCTAGTGCCCTACACGGTGCCTTGAACACATAACTGAAAGGGAACATGCAGGTACTGCAATGTACCCAGACACCCAGTCAATATTTACCCTGTGTTTGACCTAATTTAGTAGAATCTTCTTCAAAATCCATATTTCACTGCTACTCCACACATGCAGGATTGTAGTGCTTAAAGTATGTAAAAAAGCACCTGTTTAATTATTTGTAAGCTCTTATTGTCAACTGCTGCAGGAGTATGTTTTGTTTTAAGCCACTCCTCTGGATAGCAAAAAAACATAAGCATCTGTACTTATTGTTGATTTTCAGCAGAGCTGGTTTTATAAAGAAATAAAAGGGTATATACAGAGATCTATGTACTACATAGTGTATACCTACAGATGTAAATGTATACACTATGTAACACTACATAACACCTTCCATGGGAAAGAACTTGGAACTTGTTGGAACTTTAAGATTTCTTCCAATCCAAACCATTCTGTGATTCTGTGATTCTATGATTCTATATACATATAGATACACATATTGTAAGCTTGGAGGAGTAGTTCCCGTGCCTACATAAAGATTCTGAGTTGTACTGCAGCAGCAAATATACAGCACAAAACTGCTGGTGGTAAGGACAGGATATCCATGATACACGTGTTTTGAGGAGCAAGAGGCTCTCTGACTGCAGACCAGCCTGTCCCATGGCCTAGATGCCCATTAACAGTTGGAGGGTACGTTTTGGTTTTATTTCAACCCAAAGACTTTCCAAGCTGCACACTTCTGAGACTTGACAGGGAAGCAAACCAAAGTGAGGATTCTGGGGAGTTTCGTTGCTAAAGTGTAACTTAATCTGAACTAAAACCCACTCTATTCACCACCTGCTTTCATAAGATGCCACAGAGACTAATTCTTACCTGTTTCCTATAGACGTAACAGGCTGCTATTGCAACCATGGTGGATTCTCCTACAAAACCAGCGAGAAGGGATCCTACTCCGAGAGTGGCTCCATGAACTCTGTTGGAGGCATAGAAAGAAAGCAGTCATTGTTGTGTGAGAATGCATGATTCATAATTACATTTTCACTGGCATATATAACCAATCTGATGATAGAAATATTTTCTTCAAAGACACAATATACTGCCTAAGAGAATAACTGGTATTTTAAAGGACTCGTTTGTTTTTAATGGCTACACTGTTTAGTAAAAGAAGCACACTGAATCAAATTATGGACTGAGAATTTAAAGTCTTGTACAGAGTGCTGTAGAATAGATTATTAAGCTTATAAAGAAGATATTGTTCCATTAGCTTTCTTAACAGTGAGTTTAATAACATGGAAATAAATTCCCCTTAGGACACGTTTTGCCTCTTTGACATTTGTGTATTTTTTCCAAAGGGACATCACAATTGTGCCTGTCTAGAGCAGTCATGCTTGTAAATTTGTAAATGTTTCTTTTCCAGATAGTGACACTCTTTAGGCCTTGTATCGTGGTTAGTATTTGGAGAAAATGTTCCCAGCTATGCAAATTCAGCTATCAAGTGACAGGGAAGAGGAATGAAGAGGAAAGCAAATCCAGGGGTCCTGTGAGGAATAACGATTTACCCTAAGTAAGGCAGCACGATGAGACTGGTGATGAGGACGATAATCCGCAGCACTGAGCTGGGTGCCAACACAAATGTCTTCTTCAGAGTCATCAGCCAACCAGTCAAGTGTGCTCTGACAGTCACTGTTCATAAACAGGGGAGAAAAAGAAGCAAGAATAGTAAAAAAATTAAGTCAGTAATTTCATATGCAGCTTTGCCATGCAGAGAGCACTGTTCAGAAATAACCAGCAGTAAGCAAAACTTACTGCTGGTAACTTTGCACCCTACTAGTAAGCAAGTAGATCTTATGTTCAAATTGCCCTAATATACTGATTTGGGAAAATGAAGGAAAAAAAAAAAAAATCAGTTATGGACAGCACTTGGTCCTAAGAGCTGTTCTCTTAAAATCAATTTATTAGTCAGTCCATTCTGTTTTCTTCATTAAAAAACCCCCAGACTATCCCCTTCCTTAAAGAGAAGTTCTACCAAGGAAAAATTTCCATCTGGCTCCTCTGTGGCACATGGTGTAACAAGCACAAAAAGGGTATCTACATGTACTTATTATTGTATTTGTAGTTTACCTTTATTATGAAACTGTCTTGTCATATAAGCAGAAAAGACTAAAAGATGTTGCATTTAATTACAGAGCTAGAAATCTAAAGCATTTTGATTATTGTTGTCCAGCTTGTCTTGCTCTTTGATAGAAGTATTAACTTTTATTATATGATGCTTATGCTCTGAAGGAGCCACCAAGGTTACAGAACTTTTATTTTATTTATATTTTTTTACCTGGAAGTGGAAAAAAGGAGAAGATGCGCAAAGGAACGACACACAGCTCTGCGAAAGCGAAGTCTACTCCAATTATGTCAACTAAAATCTTCTCTGAAACGTTTGGTGTCCAAAACATCACAAAACAGAGCTAGAAAGAACAAAATTAAAAAATCTTTATATTTCAGAAGGGAAGCACGTGAAAAGGTAGGCCCTCCTGGACTAAAATATTTGTTTACTTATGAGTAGATAACTCTACTAATGGTAAATATACATAGTATATATTTATATTTAGCTTTCATTCGAACACATGTGTACATAAGAGAGATACCTTAACTTCAGAAGCAATTCCTACTCTTAATTTTCCTCATATACTAAGAGTGATGCATAGAGAAAGAATTTTTATGCTTTCTGCAAGTGGTTGTACTTGAATGGTCTATTGTTATTCAAACAGTAAACTCCCAGATTTTTACAGCACTTGATCTGGTTAAAACACTTGTACTCCTAAACAGATTATCAAATTTTTCAGTAACTAAAGATTTGAAGTCATCCAAGACCCAGAGATCTGACCTGAATCTAAGACTAGGGGTTTAAATTTGCTGCTGGAAAGAGTCCTGTTGGTATGCAGTAAGTCTGATAGCAAGGCAAAGGTGCTCAGCACAGTCCTGCAGATATGGTGCTCTCAGGCTACAAATCCACTAAGTCTTCTTGTTTTCATTAAAGAGTGTGCTGTTTACTCCATACAGGAAAGGAAGATTTTAATGAAAAACCCATGGCAATCGGTACAGTGGTAGTACATGCTGGTTAATTTTTTTGGAAAGTCCTGAGGTTTCCATCTGAGCTGAAGGGGCTGTTGGCAGCTGCAGGTCTGGCTTCAGTTCAAGGCACTCACTGAAGAGCAGTCCTGACAGTCCTTACAGGACTTTCCCTATAAGAAAGCATACCTTCAGGTATAACTACTTTGTTATTTAATTTGATTTTGTGATCTTAAAAACTACTTCTTAATGTTATTCTTGTAACAATATTCTTGTAATGATTATTCTTGTTATTCTTATAGTGTTATTTATTGTTAAGTGAATATTAAGGAAGTAAGCTGACTGAATGGTGCAAAACTGGGGATCTTAAATGCTCTGGCATTTAACCTGACTCCTCTTGTCAGGTTACAAATCTGTGTACCCTGTAAATTATGCACATTGGCTGTACAATAGAGTCTGTAAGACTCTATAACCACTCTGCTATACTTTAGCCTACTACCTAGTATCATAGCAGCTAGCTATTTTCTTTTTATCCAGTCACACCCCTACATGTTCAGATGACTTTTCAAACAAGTCTCTGAAGTCCTACCACCTCTAAGACAGCTGGGATTTCATTCTCATTCTTTGGTAGGGTGTCAGAAATTGCCCTTCCTGCTTAGCCTCCAAGCACCCAGACTGCAGGAGATTCCCAAGGCTTCTCACTGAGTGGCCTGTGGGAGGTCTCCATGTTCTGACCCTCTGTGTGGTGAACAAAACATTACAAATTCCTGCCTAAAAGTCCATCTTCGGTTTTTTTCTCATTTCTTAGGGTAAGAACTACTATTTTTTTTTTGTTACAATTGCATGTTTTACTTGACTAATTTGATGCTGTCTTGCAGTGTATCTCCATCACCTCTACAGAGAACAGTAAGTGGAGGAAAGTAAGAGCAGAAGACAAAAGAACTGAGCATTTCTTGTGCCAATCTACTTGTACATGGTATGACTGAAGCAGAGGGGACAATCTAGAGCATAGGGGGTTGTGTGGTTGAGAATTCAGTTATTAGAAAGTAACTGTACAACGACAGAATTAATTCTTTTATTGCTGGAGACACCCTTAGGCAGACTGTAGTCACTTGCACTCTCACTGCAAATGACCTGTAAAGCAGTCATACAGGGAATATTTTGTCAAATCTTTCTTCAAAGCCCAGAAAATAAAGTAAGATACAAACATGCCCACTCTTCATTTATAATTTGCTGTTCTCATGAAAGCAAGGACCTTTATACTGTTTTCACTGCACAATGCCATTTAGTGTCCTAATGAGCAGTATAGTTGCTGCTGCTGCTGCCACATTCCATGCATGTATGCTAACAGCAGCGCCTGCCCACTGCCAGCAAAAGGCAAACAGAGCAGTCTTTCCCTCTTCAACAGCCACTTGAAAGTGTTGAATATGGTTAGAGAGGCAAGCAAATGAGTGACCAAAGGTACTGTACTCAATTCTGCTCTCTCAAGGTTTCCTTCTGGCCCTAATAGGAACAGAGTCAATCTCCACGCGGCTCCCACCAGAGTAAGGTCAGTTTGCCAGTCAGGGAGAATGACTCACACCCAGGTGGTGTGTGGTCATTCCCCCTCAGCTGTTGCAAACTGCAGTCCTCCCCACCCCTGATCACCAGAGAGTTGTGCTGGTAAATGGCTTCAAAGAGCACTTACACAGCAGCTGGTGGGTAAATATTGCTAAGCTCAAGAATAAGCAGTTTGAGGAGGTGAGGCATGGCAGCAGAAGGACCTTCTATTTTTGTCTCAGCATGCTTCCATCTTTTTGGTTGCAGTACTGATAACTAATTTCATTTTGCTAAGAGAGCCCTCTCTATCATCTTATGGGATGATATTCTCAATGCCCAGAGGGAACAAAGCATCAGGAAAATAAATTAATGCTTTGCATCATTCAAGCCCTCTGCAATTCAAATCCTAGAGTGCTTGCAACTTTGCTGTTTCAAAGACAAAATGTAGTGGAAAAAACCCAGGCTCCACTTCAGGCAAAGAATAACACTAAACATGCAAAGCAGGAAGGTATTTCAGTTGCTAATTTTGTTACAGATGGCATGTTCTGAAAATAGGATGAAGTCAGCTTTTTTGTGATTCTGAATTGTCTTTAGGATGTTTGCCATTATCTCAGTAAAAGGTGATGCCTGACAGAAGACTGGAGAAGATGGTAACAGTAGTCCAGGAAAATGTGGCACAGACAATTAGAGATTGGCTCTACTGGAATACACAGTGCTAACTTCTGTGACACAGATCAGGAAAGATTTTAGGAAGTAGATTTACCAATAGGATGTTTCCTATCTTTCTCCTAATTTAACCCTGTTTTCTCCCCCCTACTTGCATTTCTATGCACATCTACAAGGTTAAATATAGAATAAATGGCTTGGTTAGGGTTACAGCTATACCTTCATTTAATCTAATCAAGAGATGAAGACTAAACAGCGAAAGCTTCTGCAGAGGCAAGCAATGTGCATGCAGAGTGGCACTGCAGCTTCAGGCTGCAGTTGCAGTTGGCTTTTGAGTGCGGTACCTGGCAACTCTGCTGAGGCCAAAGCGTTTCAGGGTTTTGAGAGTAAGGATTTTTCTTGTAGAATTCTAGCAACAGAGCTTATTTGATTTTCTGATGCCTTATGGTATGAGTGCAGCATGATATTAAAGGATAGTTTTGTTAAAGACTGTGATTATTTAACTGGAACTTCAACTGACCAGTGATGAGTGCTTTAAAAATGCAGGAAGAAGCAAAGGTGTAAACAGCAGAGTGGAATGCTACAGAGAATAAGCAGTTCTGTATAAAGACAGTTATGTATTATCAATTATAGTATCAACAACAGTTACCTAAGCATTTCTGAAGATGTTTTAGTAATTTCAATTGATCTGAAGGGTTTTGAGTTTTGTTATTTTGCCCTCAAAATAACAATGCCCTTTGTTCTACACTAGTAAGATTTGAAAAAACTTTACTAAATATGTCAACAACTCACAGCACCATAAGGGAACTAGTGCAGCTGTACTAGCTCACATCAAAGCTCCAGCTAGATTAGTACTATCATCTCCCTGCTAAAGGTCACTGGGAGATGCCGAGGGGAAGGGCATAAAAAGCAGGGCAAGTGCAGTGTAAGAGATCCCCTTCCCAGTCTGCATGGGAGTTATGGCTTCAGGAATTCAGTAATCCTGGTGCACCTTCATCCCATGCAGGTTTTATGCTCTGTTATCTAATATTAGTGATTTTTTTTCAATACAGTTGTGCATTGAAGTAGAAAATGCTCTCACTTGTGGCTTAGACACCCGCTTCAAAGAGTTATGCCTGTTTTTATGTGGAACCTGGCTATCTTCAGCTAACAAATTGCATGTCTAAGCATATTCAAAAGTCAAAATTAGAAACTTCTGCTGCCACCAAGCCTAAGAGAATGCACCAAATCTTTTTTCTCCAATAGGGAAAGTACAGAACTGCTAGTGTTCAGTTCAACTTCTCTTTATTCTCTTAAGTACAATTATAGCAGTTGACTTTCACAAATGATTGTGATGAAAGATTGTTCATGAGGTTTTGTTTCAAAGGCTGCATGTGTGAGTCTGAATGCTTCTAGTTCTTGAAAAATAACAGTCTTTTCATAGGCCTTGCATCTCCTGGAAGCTATTTCCATTTATTCTGGTTGCTGACAGGGATTACTAAACCTCAGAGACCCACTACATAATGCATTATAATACATTATGCTAACAAAGGCTATTGTCATGTGTATAGCAATCTGCAGGGTGCCAGACTGATTTTTTTTTGGCACTTGTAGAAAACTGCCTATTTTTTGAGACATCCATTGATAAATATAAAGCAAAAAATAGTTCCCAGTGAGCTATGAACAACAGTACAACTTTTCTAGACTTCGTGCAGTCTTCGGTAAGAAGAAACACTGGCAGATGACAGAGACATGGTGTGGCTCTATGTTCCTCAGAAAGAAATTAAGGAATCCAAAATGGATGTTTTTAAAAATAGGTTAGACATATGCCAACCTGGAATGAGTCTGGAATAGCAGATTTTATTGGGGAAGATGGTTAACCTGGTAAAGGTTATTCTGTGATGAAATCCAGTCCCTATTTTTCTCCTGCAAAAAACCTCTCAGCAGATGTTTCATATAATTTGTTGAACCTGATATATTTGCAGAAGTATGGCTGTCCAAGCCACGTGATTTACCCTAAAGATATTGTTCTATGTGTGTATTGACTATTGCAGCTTAATTTAACCCATGTCTTGTTCATTTCCTATTACCATTTATGCTACATGGTGCCCAGTGAGGGCAGAGGAAACCTACTTTGAAAATTATTACACATCTCAGCTTTGAATTGCACCTCGGGTCTTTGGGATAGTATCAGCTAAGTTTAGAACTTTTA